ACTGGCAGAAACTGCTAAACATCATCCATGCAATTCAAAACAGATCCCATATCAGCAGTGGGGCAGAAGGGACTGGGGATGGAGAAGCTCTCCCGTCCCATCCTCTGGTTGCCTTCCCATCCCCTTCGGCTTTGACCCTTTCCATCCCAAGGCTCCCTTGCTCCTGGGCCGGTCCCCTTGCATGATGCCTTGTCCTCATACGGACTTTTGGTGCTGCCGTGCCCACTCCATGGTGTGACTCAGCCAGGTCAGGACTATGTTAGGAGACAAAGCTGACGTGGTCCTGAAGCAGAGAGGTCTTTGGTGGTGCTATGTCTCCTGTCCTTTGCTCTCTCCCCCAGGCATCTCCTTCCAGAGGCTGGTGAGGACGGAGCAGGGGCTGCCCGTGAAGAACTATCAGAGCTCCACTGTGTAAGTGTGGCCATGGGTGCTGCTGACGTCTCTCTCTGTAGCATCTGCACCATCCCACGCTGCTTGAGCAGCATCTCCAAGGTGTAGCGGTGGGTGCTGGGGAGAATAGCCAGAGAGCTGGGCTGAGCTGTGGGAAGGGATGAAGAAAGTGGCCGTGACATTTCCACAGCCATGGGTTAGGTTCTGTGGGCTCCCCATGTCCGTTATCCTGCAGGGCTGCACATCTGGGTGAAAACAGCTGGGGAAGGCACAGGCTCCTCTGCAGGGAGCTGCTGATCTGGGTACAGGCTGGAGAACAGCCAGGAGAGGCTTCAATCTGCATGCTTGGGAGCCACCAGCGCAAGTGGGAGACAGAAGCGAGTCCATCCCAGTGCAACAATCAGTGAAAGCCTTTTGCAGCTCCGAGCACAGTCAGACTTTGCGCTAATTATTCGAGAGCTGAACCTTTCATCCTGCCAGGGCACCTCGTTTGTAAATAGGAAAATGAGCCCGGGTGGTGTGTGCCCGCCCTGGCTGCAGTGCCAACCCCAGCCCCAGGGCTGGTCCTCCCTGCACAGCCACCTCCCCTCTGAGCAGGACGGGGGTCCTGCCCTGTCCGCTCACGCCGTGCAGCTCTGGATCTGCACCTGTATCCGATCCAGCTGTGCCGGTGTTGCTGCGGTGCTCTCCCAGTATAGCTCCTCCGCTCTACAGGCTTATGCTGGTGCAAGTGCAACCACTGCTGACTGACAGCACGGTGGCTGTATTTGCGTAAAAAGCCCTGAAAACTTGGCACAAAGCTGAACGCAGACTGAACTTTGGGCTAATGGAAGCTTGTGCCCATGGCCTGAGCTTTCTAGAGCCAAGCACACCAGAGCACATCCATAATTTGGAGTCGGTTTTGCTCAGTGAGGTGGAGTGTTCTCCTCCATGAACAGAAGCACACGCTCTCCAGGCTGCAGGTTTGGGAATTCAAAGCCTGTGGATAGTCATGTTGTGGTCCAGAGCAAAAACACAGCTGAAGGATGAGGCTCTTCTTCTTAAAGCCCAGAAGTGGTGCTCTGACCTGCATCTTGCAGGGGGAAGATGTTTCAGGGACCGCTTGCTTTTTCTAACCACATCCCTCTTCATTGCATGTGCTGGATGTCCACTTAGGACAACTGGGTGCTGGACTGGAGCCCTGTCTGGGGTTCGTTGAACAATTATTAGGCTGGTGATATCGCAGATGTGGCAGGAGAGGTGGTGGCAAGGATGGTGCCAAGGGGCAGGATGGAGGATGCTCATCCATTACCTGCTCCCTGCCCCTATCTGGCACTCTGGCTTGGGTCTGACACCCCTTCGCAGCCCCAAGACCCTCTGGCTGTGACTAACGTGAGAGACCACTGCCATCTAGTGTGAATTTGTCCAAGAGTTTCCTGTGCCACCAGCGTCCGAGCCTGGCTGCCCACACTGACTGCTGTCCCCTTGTCCCCAGGACGGTGCTGCTGCTCAACCGCTCCGAGGTGCAGAGCGAGTTCCTCTCCATCGCCGAGAAGCTGAGTGGCAGCGAGCACCCGCAGCGCGCCACGCTCCTCGTGCTCCTCGAGCACCTCTACCAGGCCAACTTCGGCACCTGCTGCGACCTGGACAGCCTGCGCCACCTCCTCAAGGTAGGCTCCCAGAGCTTCAACTTTGGTCATGCCATGATGCCGCTGGGAGCAGTTCCACACAGTTGGCTGGTGGATTTCCTGACCGAAACAACATTTGATTGACAAAAGACAAAAAAAAGTTTTGATAATCATAGAATCCTAGAATGGTTTGGGTTGGAAGGGACCTCAAAGATCATCTAGTTCCAACCCCCCTGCCATGGGCAGGGACACCTTCCACTACACCAGGTTGCTCAAAGCCCCATCCAACCTGGCCTTGAACACTTCCATACCTTCTTGTGGGAAAAATACCCATCTTTGCTGTCTCTTCTCAGGTCAGACCTGACGTCTACGCTTCTGTTTTGTGAAGTGTGCTGGGGTGGGTGACTCACCTTCTACCCTTTTAACTCCTTTCCCCATGTCTAAGTGGAGAGAGGAGGAGCCTCTGGATTTGAAATGCAGCAAAAGTGTTTGTTTGATCAGAGAAATGCTTTGTTTTGGAGTTTGGGGGGCCAAAAACTTGTGGAGAAAATCCTTTAGGTGTGTTCAAACACTTTTTTTTTTCTTAGCAGAAGTTTTGGGGGGACTAAAAGGGGGAAGGAGATAGAGGAGGGAGAGAGATTTGCCCGGTGTCCTAGGTAGTGACCTTCCCCAAAGACCTGTGTGTTGCCTCTGCGGAGGGACACCCTCAATCTCTCACCTCGGCTCTGCTCCCCCCAGTCCAAGACACTGGAAGAGCTCTCGGAGATCTACGCCAGCGCCGCCGACGCGCAGGAGATTGCAGCTGCCAGCAGCGACCCCGTCCTGGCCCGGGAGCGACTCCAGTCCGTGCTGCGGGACATCGCCGGGGCTGCATCCTTTCCTGCCGTCGTGGGTGAGAATCCACCCCCGTCCCCCTCTTTCCTCCAGAGTTCTCTGCTGGCTCAGCCCCTGCAGCCCTACAAGCTCCCCTGCGCTGTGGGTGCTGGGATCAGCCCTTTGAAGTGTGAAACCTGTTTTGCACAAAGTTTCAACCCAGCACAACGATGATGACCAAAAAACCACCAATCCAGGTCCTGTTTCATAACCATGTGATGAGCCAGAAATTGTTTCTCATCTTTCATTAAAACAGCAAGAAAAAACCCAATTATCATAGTATCATAGAATGGTTTGGGTTGGAAGGGACCTCAAAGATCATCTTGTTCCAACCCCCTGCCATGGGCAGGGAAACCCTCCACTACACCAGGTTGCTCAAAGCCTCATCCAATCTGGCCTTGTGCACTTCCAGGGATGGGGCAGCCACAGCTTCTCTGGGCAACCTGTGCCAGTGCCTCACCAGCCTCATTGTAAAAAATTTCGTCCTTAGATCTAATCGAAATCGCCCCTTTTTTCAGTTTAAAGCCATTGCCCCTGTCCTATTACTGCACGCCCTTGTCAAAAGCTCCTCTCCAGCTTTCTTGTAGACCCCCCAATTCTCAAGCCTTGACTGAGATAAAAAATGTTAAATTAGAAACCAATGGTAGCAGTGATGTCTGATGGCTCTTAGAGGTGTGAAATGTCCCCTCATCCCAATTTTATGTGACCTCATGGGGATACCGACAGCAGCATCAGTGTTCTGCATGACCTGGGCTGCCCAAAATGCTTGCATGGGCGGGGGGGACATCTCCCACCTGCCCTGACAGCTGTCAAGAGTGGTATTTGTGTTCCCTACAACCAAACTCTTCTCCCTCCTCTCTTCCCAGGCGACACTCAGCCCCGCAAGCTCCACACCATCCCCATCCCTGCCGCTCGCTGCTACACTTACAGCTGGGATCAGGATAATTTTGGTAAGTGGAGGGGGTCCCTCATCCCTCCTGGTGAGACCACAGCCCTTGGCTTCTCGTTGCAGGGGCGGCTCAGCAGCGTTTCAGCTTGGCTGCGGCTGCCACGTGCAGCTGGGTCCATGACACAAACTGAAAGAGCTGCGTCATGGAATTGTTGGTGTTGGAGGGAGAGGTCATGCAGTGGATGCCAATGTCCCCTAGATGGGAGAGGTCGTGGGCATCAGCTCGGGCATGGCACCACTGTGATCCTAAGCAAAACCCGCCTCCGAGCGGTGGGTAGGAGACACTGGTAGCCTCAAATACATGTTGCCAGAGACAAATCATGCAGGGCTGAATCTCCTGGGTAAAGCTGTGCCTTGCATTAAGCTGAAAGAGGTTCGTCGCACCCGAGTCCATGGGGATATTGGTAGGATGGAGACTTTCTTTGGTAGAAAGTTCCTCTGCAAGGAATAAAGCTTGCTTGTGCCCTGGGAATAATTGTTGCTGGAAAAGCTGGACTACACTGAGATGTTGAGGCTTTGTGGGGTTGAGACCCCTTGGATGTTGCAGCTCTTCCCCCACCCGCAGCAGGGATGGCCGAGGAGTGGGTGCCTTTGCTGTGCCTTCAACCCGGCCGCAGCAGTTTTGCAGGGGAAATGGTGGCTTCCTCTTCTGCTGAGCTGGTCTCTTCGGCTTCCCCATTCCTGGAAGACCTTTTCTGTTCCCATGAAGGTTTAGTGTTCATTGCGTGCTGGCCCCAGCGAGCTGGACTGGAGCTCTGGCTTGGGCTTTGCAGTGAGTCTAACCTTGCGGGAGGCCACCCACGGTGGGGCAATCTGGGGTTTGATTATCAAAATACCTTGCTTTCCTCCTGCCCTCCAGTTAAACCCAGGTCAGACACCGGCACATGGTAAAATCTGTGTAGGAAGGAAGCAAAACCCCAACTGGGGTTTGCCTTTCGAGAACCCAAACAGAACGTGACCTCAAGGAGAAAAACGTGTTTTGTTTTGCACTGCATCTGAGCACCTTCTGGCAATCTAAAAACCTTCAGGAGGAGGTTTTCAGCTCCTTGTTTGAAACTGTACAGGATCAGAGAGCGTTGGCCACACTGTAATAGCATCCTTGTTTGAGGTCATCACATTTCCAGCAGCTGTGCTGGATCCTGGACCAGACCTGATCTCCCTGCCATTGCCTTTCAGATATCCTCAACGATGTCCTCAGCAAAGAGTGCAGCATTGTTGAGCCTATGGCCTCGGAAAACGAGGAGGAGGACGAAGAGGAGGAAGTGGAAACCGATGGCTGTTCCCCCGAGCGAGACTCGCTGCTTTCCCCCATCTGCGCCATTTCCAAAGACTCCATGTACTCGGCGCTGCCGGAGGAAGGATCTAAGCCCTCGCGAGTGTCCCTCTTCGCCACTTCCAAGGACTCCATCTCAGAGCTGACGGTGGTCTCCAGAAAGTCCCTGAAGTCATTCGTCTCCAGCCTGAAGGACTGCATGGACAGTGGGTACGCGGAGGACAGCGACGAGAACTCCCTGGACATGGTGGGGAGGCCGGAGCTGAAGGTGGAGAAGACCCACCACAAATACAGACACACGCTGACCAACAAGATCTACAAACTGTTCAAGAGCAAAAGCCAACTGGTCTTGAGGAGGGACCTGAAGGACTGCCTGGACACGAGCTCGCTCCCACTGCCCCTGCGCCGGGCCGAGAGCCTCTGCACCCCCCAAGCCAAGCACCGCGTCCCGGCGCGCTCCCGGCGCGCTCACTCGCTGCCGCAGCACGTCCTGAGCCAGCGGCTGCCGGCCCCGCTCTCCCCACGGCACCTCAGCCTCCACCGACGGCCCTTCCTCAGCTACGATGAGGATGCCAAGGTGTCCACGCTGCGCGTCGTGGTCTTCGGCTCCGACCGCATCTCGGGGAAAGTGGCGCGAGCCTACAGCAACCTCAGGTGAGCTGGGTGGTGCAGGGGACCTGGCTGCAGGTGCCTGGCCCTGCTGGGATGTGCTGGAGGGCTTGGCTCACTCAGCCCTCTCCTACCTTCTCCTAGGCTCAAGGAGAGCACCTGCCCCTCACTGACAAGGTACTTCAAGCTGCAGTTTTTCTATGTCCCCGTGAAGAGGAGCTGCTTGGCTCCATCGACCCTGCTGATGCATCCCTCCCCATCCCTGGGGGACCAGCAGCTCCGGGCCTCAGCACAGGTGGTAGGTGTCCTGCTCGCCATGGAGCTCATGGTGCCACCAGCGCTCCGCTTGGCCCCGAGAGGTGTGCGGAGAGGTTGGCAGGGCAGGCTGAGGGGAGTGCTGATGTGTCTTCCACCAGCCCCAAGGGTGGGTGAGGAGCCTGGGAGGCCCCTGGTGTGACCCCGGTGTGTCTGGTTTCAGGATCCCACCTTGGCTGGGATAGAGAGCAGCACCAACGACATCTCCCACTACATTGGCATGTTGGACCCATGGTACGAGCGCAATGTTCTCGGGCTGATGAACCTGCCCATGGATGTCCTGTGTCAGTCTGCCAAGCCGGAGGCTGAGCCCCAGGAGGACTCCCAAGAGCAGCTGCCCATCCTGGCTGACATGATCCTCTACTACTGCCGCTTCGCCACGCGCCCTGTCCTGCTGCAGCTCTACCAGACGGAGGTAGGTGAAGGGGCTTGGCACCGTCTTGGCGAGGGGGAAATGGAGGCGTCTTCTGCCTGTGCCACCAACTTGGGACCTCCCTGTGAAGCGGATGGGGATGTGGCACAGCCACCACACACTGGTGAGGCAGAGCTGGGTCTCCTTTTATTCCCCAGGTGCCCATGGTGCTCCAGGTGATGCTCCTGGCTCAGGGATTGAGGCCATGCGGGTCCTGCCCAGACAACCCTTAAGTCACACGAGCAGTTTTCCATCCAAATCCTGTTCCCCGTGACACAACATGACTCCTGTCAGTGCTGATAGGTTATTCACATGCCTGGAGATCCCTCCAGTGCTCTGCTTTCCAAACCAAGCCCCTCCACGAAGCCTGTTTTCCCCGCCCCACTGCGTGTGGGGCCACAGTGAGCAGAATCGCTGCTGGTGGTGGGATTTGCGTCACCCAAAGCCATGCCCGGACCCTGCTGTTAGGCTCATCCTGAGTTTTTCTTTCCAGTGGGTTTGGGTTTTTTTCTTGAAGTGAAAATCCAGGGGTTTGGGTTGTTGTACTTGCTGGTGGTCTGTTAAAACAGTCGGAAGTACAGCTAAAGGCAAGTGTCGCCTAAGGCAGTGGTCGAAAGGTGTATTTTGAAAACGTGCAAGGATTTTTTCCCCAAAATGACCTGTTTTCTCTGGAAAGGAGTGAGAGGGGCAAACATTGCCCGGCACGGGTTGCATCTCCTTCTCACCACATCTCCTCTCTTCTCCGCCCCGGCAGCTCACCTTCATCGGAGGAGAAAAGATGACCGAAGTCTTCATCCACTCCCTGGAGCTGGGCCACTCGGCAGCCACGCGGGCCATCAAAGCGTCAGGTCTGTAGCCACTTCTGCAGCCACAGCGCGGGGCCAGAGGGCTGCAAACCGCTGGGCTGGGAGATAAATGGAAATAGGGGCTGGGGGGGGAGCGTGGGCTGCAAGAGGGGTCTGAGCCCAGGCTGCATCGCGAGCAAAGATCCAGACACCTTTTCACGGATTTGGAAGCGAGGCGGCGTGGTTCTCCTCTTCCTCTTCACGAGCGAAGCTGCGGCGACACCTTATTGTTTTTGTTGCGGTGAACTCCGAAACGTGTTTGCAATAAACCAGCTTCAAGCCCATTTCCTTCCTCTCATCAGCACCTGGCCCAGCGCAGCTCTTCATCTTTTCTTTTTGCTGCTTTCGGTGGTTTGTGCTTTGTCCAGGAGAGTCATTTATAAAAACCCTTTTTCTGTTTTCCTTAGTTTACTGGGCAAAGCAAGGTTGGTGCATGTGCTTGTAGCCCTCCTGCGAGGGGAATCCATGAGCTTTCACACCGGGAGTTTATAAAATGAGTGGAGACAAAAAGCCATGGCAGAAGCACCTGCCTGCGCGTGGTCTCCAGCTCTCCTGGGTGCCAAGGACAACGTGCTGCCCGGTGCGGGGCAGCTTGCAGAGACATCTCATGGCCAACCAACAATACTGCCTTTAAACATGTTGCTTATTATTTTTTTTTTTTAACCAATTGCTTTTCTGTGATCTCGCCTTGTCTTTCTAAGCAGAGCTCATAAAATATCTTCCATGTGTCACCACCCTGCTCCCTGGAAATACAGGCTTGGCCAAGACCTCTTCCCAATAACTCATGAAACCACCGATCCTTTCTGACTCGGATTTTTTTTGCATTTTTCCCTTTCCCTTGGGTTGTCTGGGAGCACACCACTTAACATCTGCAAAAAATTATCCAGGGGAAAAAAAAAAACAGTTAGGAAGTGTCGGGCACGGTATTTCAAGGCTAATTTAGTGTGGGCACAAACACGCCTGGAAAAACAGGAGCCGGGTGAGCAACGGGGCCTTTTCTTGCTTTGTGTTTTCCCTGGAGCCCTGACCCCTCTGCACCGGCTTAGCCAGCACTGCTTTCACTTTGGCAGAGCTGCTTGTTGCGCTTTGTGTTTGAAATTTCTCCGCTGGATTAATTGCTTTCTGGCAGCTCTGAAGCCACCTTTTCTTTTCGTCTTTTCGCTCCACGGCTGTGTTCAGCAAACCCTTTTTTTTTCCCCCCTTTCTGTAGGTGCTGGGTGTGCTGGTGTTCTCAGGAGCCCGCTGAAGAATGGGGAAAAAGGGCCACCGTGTGACGTTTGCTCCTTGTTTTTGTGCAGGTCCAGGCAGCAAAAGGCTGGGCATAGATGGAGACAGAGAAGCAATCCCGCTAACACTACAGATTGCCTACAGCAAGGTGGGTGCAAAGCCAAACTGGGCAGAAAACCACTTCAGTGCTGGGCAAAGGTGTCTTTCTGTTGGGGGCTGGGAGAGGCAAACGCTGACACTGTGCTGGAGGAACCTGAATCCAAGCCCAGACAAGCCAAACTCAAGCTAATTGTCTACTTACTGGCTAATTGGGGGTGGCTTTCCACTCCTGTTCAGCCCGGTAAACTAGGGAATGTGCAGCCAGTTTCCATACTGGATGTGTACTGGGTGCCACTTTACACTGGTGGACTTTGCCTCCAGGGAGTGATCTTCTGCTGGTCACAGCAGTCCTCCAGTTTTGTTGGTCCCTCTGCGGTTATTTAGTGTTGAGCCTGGGCAATTTTTGTAAATCCAAGTTTAAATGGATTTTAATGCCTACTCAAATCGTGTCTGTGCAGCTCCAGGTAAATCCAGATCTGAGCTAGTGCAGCCAGATGGTATGGGGTGGGAGGCAGGGTAATGTCAGCCTGGAGCATGGCATCTCATGGGCTTTGGTTGGTCTCTGCAGACAGCCATCAGTGGAAGAAGTCACTGGAATGACGTTGAGAAGGTCTGCACATCCGTCAACCTTAGCAAAGCCTGCAAGAAGTACGAAGAACTAGGTGAGTAGAGGTGGCCTTTGGGGCTTTGTGTAGGGGCAATGGGAGGGACTGGTAGAGCAAAAGGATGGTGTGGATCATCTAGCTGGGGCAAAGGATGGATGTGTGGATGCAGGAGAAGATACATGGAAGGTGCCTGGTGTTCCCTGGGACACACTGTAGTCCTTGGATGTCCTTAACACCGCATCAGGGACAAAAGGCATTTGATTTCCCGTTGCCCTAAAGCTTCCAGCCAGGGAGATGGGATGTCCGTTAGGGACAGGGCTGGCACGGGCCAAACAGCAGGATGGTCACTGGAGGGCGGTGCTTTCCAGAACAACACTTGTTTAGTAAGCAGAAGGAGAAAAGGGTAAAACTGTTGTTAAATGAAGCAGGACCGAGGGAGAGGACGCTGTCCTGCCCTCCGCAGCACCTTGCAGCAGGCTCTCACGAAGCCGGTGCTCCAGCCCCGGTTCCTTTCTGCGGCTCGGTGTGAGCTGGCTGCCACGTGCTTTTACTTCATTAACTTTTTTTCTAATCAGGTTTCCGATAGGGTATTAATAAGGCTTTGAGTCTTTTAAAAGCAGCAAGGCTTTCAGCCCGTGTGCGTCTTTAGAAGCAATACCTGTTTGTTCTTGCTTAAGAACTGCTGGTTTGGCAATCACACACCCAGTTCTGAGTAAACTGAGGGTTTTTTTTAGTTCCTCTTTCCTCGTGTGCTTTGTGGCTGACAGATGGATAGTTTGTGAGCAGTCGGGACAAACGGGTGATCTACCAAATAGGAGACAGCTCCTATATGCCCTATGGAGCTCAACTTAAACATCTGTCCCTCCTGTCCCTACCCCATCCATGAA